AGCTTCCCAATTGATAGGCTCAGCCTCATCCCATCCCCTGTCTTGCTAAAGCATGGGTGTTTGTTTCACGTGGCTTTTCCTCCGCAGGCTGGAACCATGGATAACCATGAATGTTTCATGGGAGTCGGGATGCTATGTACCGGCAAATCATAGCAGGACCGTTGCGGCCTCACCCATCAGGGACACGACAGCGGAATTTCCAACCTTGGCGTCAGGCTGGCGCCCCAACTGCTTCCCTAGAACGAGCCAAGCCCTGTTGCCAACATCTTTCTTGGGGACTAGGTGGGCAATTGGCAATTGGTTCCTTTGCCAACACCGAGGCAAATAGACACATACCCTTTGCCAAGTGAGATTCGGTGAATCCCCACCCCCCACCCCAAGTAATACTTGCCGCTCAATCGTCCAATTGCAGCCAAGCGGACCCTCGGCCTTCTTTGCCTCGTCCATTGCAGAGATATCAAAACTTCAGGTTGCCATGCCAAGCCCAAGACCCAGAGTTATCATAGGAACCAGGTGGTGAACCACGATAACTCCCAGTGACTCTTTTTGCTTATAGCAGGTATCCAGCTGTTTTCCTCCGGGTTCGTTTGGTTAGTTATAGAGGTGCATGGACTCTCCGCAAAGGCCCAAAGAAGATCGTGGTCTGACGTTCTGTGTTTCACGAGAGACATCCAAATGGCTGTGGGTCAAAACCATTGGTACCATTTTGGGGTAGGTGCACCACCCATTTTAGGCTATTTTAGCGGGGATTGGGATGTTCACTGGGGGTACGGGGCTTTGACCATGGCCAAAAGTCCGGCTGGGGGGGAGGCATTTCAGGAGGAGCAGCTGTCCTTCAGCCTTTGCGAGGCCGGTTTTTGGAGACACGGGTTCGGGCGGCTTTGGGTGACTCGAGGTTTTGCTGGTCATCTAGGGTCCCCAGTAGTGCGCGTTGGCCCTTTTTTGGGGGAGGGTTCCCCTATTAAAATAGACTACAGAAAAAAGGGTACCCTTATTCTAACCTTTCTACTGGAGGACCTAGTCATGTTTATTCCCCAACTGAAAGCTATGGGGTCAATATGCCCAAATGAGCGATAAGGGGTTCCGGGGCTGCTGGGGATACAAAGGACGCTATGTTTTTGCACTTTGCAATTTGGTCTTTGTCTCGGCGCTACTCAAGCTGTGTTCCAGCTCCCCCCAACTGGGGAAAACCAGTCGTTGTGGACTGCTTTGTGTTTCTTTCTTCCTTCTTCCTTCACTCAAGTTACCCTTCATTGGTGGTTTGGATTGGTGGATTGGGGATTTGAACCCCTGGATCTCGCGGTCTCACCAAGCCACTGGACGCGCTTTACACTTTTTTCCTTGGTGGCTCTCCCTTGCTAGTGGTGGCCGAAAAAGTGCACACTGGTTTTTTGGCTGGTCACTGGCCAAGTGAGTGGTCCCTTGCCAGAATTCAGCTTCCCTTTAACTTGGGTGCTGTAGATCTCCCAGCAAAAAGTTCTCAACTTTTTCCTGGCTAAAAGGAAATATGAAGGAAATCCAAGAAGTCAATGTCTAAAGAACCAACCCAATAGCGGTAGAGTCAATTTGGTGGCTTGGAGCCCGGTGGTCTGGGAGCTCGGAGCTTCCAGTCTCGGCAGGCATTGCAGGAGATTCATGCCATGACGGCGGCCTTAGAGGAGTGTGGAACGTGTCTGGTTTTGCAACCCGGTCGCTTGCGTTTTTTCTTCTCTTTTTCCCCGTTGGAACTCCTCAAGAACGGGCGGGGTCCTTTTGGCGCCCCTTTACCCAAGAAAAACGTGGGGTGGCCCTCAAAACGGCACACCCGTCTTGGTGGTTGTCAACATCATTTGCGCGGCGATAGGGCGAGTTTCCTTGGTAGTGGTGATGTTTGAAAGGAACATATGCGGAACATTTGCAGGATGCAGACCACCCAACACCCAAACTTCCTCCAAAGAAGGCAAGTTGGCACTTTCTCAGTTTCGTTTTTCTACTCTTTGGAAAGACATTTCTAGTGATGGGACTTCTTGATGGCTCCACTAAGGACTGGGATAAGGCAGACCCGCGATGCAAGTTTCTTACTTGATTGTCATTTTTGGGTTGCAAGTACCTGGGCCGTCGTAGTTCCGCTTAGAAGTGGGATGCCACTGTTGGCAACATCCCGGTTTGGCCCAGGTAGCAACTTGCCACCAGAAACCTGGTTGTAAAATACGGGTCTCAAATATTTGCACTTGAAGGGCAGCTTGTAAGCAACATGTGTTCAGTGAATTGTGTAGTGTTTATTGGAATGATCTGCTTTTGGTCAGTGAGTGTTCAGCACATCCCAGGGATTGCCCAGTGGTCTATTTCATGTTGCGAATTTCGCGGTCTGGGCAGTGAAGGTCCTTGAGTGTCCACAGGCGGCAACGCGGCATGAATCTGGATGGGGGATTTCCAGTGCTTCCGTTTTTGGGTTATGTTTGTTTATCCTAAGAGTTTCTATGTTGGGTCCAAGTTACTCAGTGGGATGACAGCTTGCCCTTGTTTTATTGCTGCTTTGGATTGGTTGGGGGATTTGAGCCCTTCGTTCATGTTTGGAGAGACCTTTTGGAGAACCATGTTTCTTCATGGCCCCAAGAGGTTCACGTTTTATTTCCAGGTCATTTGGGCAAGTGTTTGTGGCTCCAAAAACCGGTACCAAAATGGAACCCTGGTAAGTGGAAACATGGACCAAAACCCGCGGTTTGCCCCTCGTGTTTAATTTTGAGCCACAGCCAAGTGAGATTTTGAGACTCCCCCAAATGGCCCTGCGGATTCCTTATATTTCCTCCGGCCGAAGGGTTCCCGAATTTCCTTTTGAGAGGAGCCGGATTTGGCCGAGCCGGAGGCCTCCCGGTCTTCGACGTTGTGGTTATCCACTGAAGCACGAGGGGAAGAGCAGATGTATATCTCTCTATATATTTGTGTATTCATATGATTATGTATGTGCATATATATATATATATCTGTGTATATGCATCGTGAAAATAGGTCCATATCATACGACAATGGGCATACATACATATTTGTGCTTCTGGTCTTAGATACATCTATTGCGTATATGTATATAGATGTGCACATGTCTGGCAATATATATATATATATATGTATATATATATATACGGGTGTATATGGTACGCGCACACACACACACAACTCTGCAGCGCTTTCGTTGTTTATCTCCTTGAGGGGCAGCATGCAAGTATATGTACATACATAATTATGATTTGATGTATATATATATATATATGTCTACCTACTTATTTAATTACTGTTTTGTTTGGATGTACCTATCCAATGTTCGACCCGGCAGCTGGACCCTCCATTCAACACGAAACACAACATGCAAAATCAAACATGGGGCATCGCCCCTTTTTTGTTCGCATCCGTTTTGAATGGGTACTTCTTCCCATGTTGATTGGGCATTTGGAGGTTCACTACATATGAAACGATATCTGAACGTTTTAGTTAGTTTCCTGACAAGCTGAGGTAGGGATTGACATACCCACACCAGCTGAGACACTGAGACATAGTGCAAGTGATTAAGCCAGCTGCAAGCCGTTGTTTTCCTCGGCATCAGTGGTCAATACATTGTCTTCGGATGTGAACCTGCCCAGAGCCCCAAGCAACGTGGAAAGGCGTGAGTACATGATTGCATTAGCGTCAGCAATCGGCGCCACTGTTGAAAAAGACATGTTTCAAGGGAAAGCATGAGTTCCCCTCCCACCGACTAACCAGGAGCTTGATTGGGGAATCCTGTACTATGTTTCTGTTGTTGATGGAGGTTAACCTTTTGGTTTACCAGTTTCTAGTTTCGGTTTCAACATGTTGGATCAAGTGTCAGAACTTCAAGCCAGTGAAGGATGTTCCCCAACAGCTTTGGTGACTGAATTCCTCGGCTGATCTTTTTCGTTGCATGGGGCAGAGGTTGCAACCCACCTGGTTGGTTCGGATTTCCCCGCGTGGAATCGCCGCTACGTTTTGGGGAGAAGGGAGGGCCGAAGTCTCCGATCAAGCCGCACACGGAACAAGCTGTGTGAAGGATCGGATGATGTTTGTTTGTTGTTTGACTGTCAAATCATGGTTCGGGAATCAACCAAACGTTTCGGATTTCTAGCAGTCTTTGTGGCAACTGCGAACACTGTTTGGTTGGTGGAGTAAAACATTGGCTTATCCATGGTTGAAGGTATGTGTCTCTGGGTTTGTTTTGCCAAGGTTTGGAAAGTGTTTCACGCATTTGCCCTTTCACGACTTTGTTTCCTAAGAGTCCTAAGGTCTTTCCGCAGTCCTCCTCAGGTGGACCCTGCAGATGCAACGCGCTCAGAGCTTTGTGCGCCGAAGGGGGTGCCAGTGGAGAGGATTGCCGGGCGGCAATAGCCCCTGTGAATCCACCAGGTGGATGAATCCGGGGTCGGCACTCCTGCAAACACGGCAATACAGAGGCTCCCTTGCCAGAAGGTAAGTAATCTCTTGCAAAAAGTTTAACTTTTCGCTGGTTAAAAGAAAGCATGAGGGGAATCCAAAAAGTTAAAGCCTAAAGATCCAACCCAAGAGTGCTTTTCTCATCGAGCCACTCTCGAAATTGTGGCCGGAGCACAAGGGCCTCAACCATTAGGATGTGGTTGTGTGGTACTTTCAAGCCGAACGAAACCATTATCATGAGATGTCTGTGTAATTGTTCAAATCCTGACACGGGCTTAGTTTCTGTTATAAGGCGAACCAAGGGTACCCCCTCCCCCATTTGGAGAATATGCGCGCAAATTGCCACCGCAAAAAGTGGCGTGCCGCTCGGGATCTTCGGCTCAGAGGCGTTGCGAAGTGCGAAGCAAGGCGACGCAGCAAGACACGCACTCGAACAGGTCGGGATAGAACAGGATGCAGGAGGCTGCACAAACAAGAACAACATGATTCAACCAGAATCATTTGTTTTTGTGCGTTGGCCTTTGTTTTTTGTTGCCATTTGTTTGGTTATGTATTTTCAGATCCGTGCAGGCTTGCACGCGAGTAGGTTGACCCGGCTTTCGGTTTCAACCGCGCGTGGCGCTGATCCTTCGGATGGGGAACACCAACGTGGCTTCCTGCCACAGCTGCCACCAGCGATGTGAGAACGTGGCCATCGAGTACGCAGGGGTGGCTTGCCATGAACCGTTTTTTGTTGGGTTTGGCCAGTGACCAGGACAGTCCCAGCCAGAAACAGCGGCACCTGTGTAATTGTTTCCTTAGACCCTCCAGATCGCATTCGGCCACAAGCCGTCCCGGCAGCACGGGGCCAAGCGGCCAGCAAGGATTTGGCAGTGGTACTGTTCCCAAACCGCCGGAAAGAAGTGGCTTTGTCCACAGCCTTCTTTTGGATCATGCATAAGCAAGTGTCTGAGGCGACTTGAGGAACTTGTTTGTCAAAAACAGCAGTCCGGCCAAGGGTTTCCTCACGGGGTCGCTGTGGGCACGCTAGGTGGACCTCTACGCGCTCACAGGCAGCTCGGAAGAGAGAGCCCCGTTCGTCCGATTTCGGTAGCAGCTGCCAAGCTCCCTCCGCCGGATCCAAGCGGATCCAACCGGAAAGGGGGTGGATCTTTAACCTGCAACTTCTCTCTACTGCTATTGGGTTGGATCTTTAGACTTTAACTTTAAGGATTCCCCTCATATGTCCATATAACCGGCAAAAAGGTAAACTTTTTGCTGGGGGATCTACAGCACCCAACTTGTGGGGAAACTGGCAGGGGTAGTTGCCACAGAGTACAGAGTTATTTGGCTGACGTTTTGTCGTTCTTCTAAGACTGACTTTTGAGGTTTTCTGCAAGGTCCTGGCATGTTGCAGGTCCCTTATTTGTTTCAGGGCCTCTTTTCCGGCTGCTCGTGTTCCTTGCCCGTTGCCCTTCGGTTTTCAGAGCTGGCCAAAGAGGCTCTTGATGCACTTGAGCCCTTGAACATGGCACAAAAGAGGATGTTACGCTCCATGGAGCTTGACCCATGGGACAAGGGGCAAAGCGGCAACGTAGGGCGTGTTCAAATACTCCCTACTTGGCAAAGGATGTGAATGTCAGGTAAAGGAGAAAGCCGGGCAGACGGGACCTGGTGACCGGCTCCAAAGACCATGGCACCAGGGTAGAAAGCCGGCGCCTGGAAACGGAAACAAAAGAACCCAGCCTGTATGTAACCTGTGTGTGTGTGTGATGTAGGCAGCCATCCTGATGGGGACCTGCACGGCAGCGAGGCAGTGGAGTCGATCTTTAGTTTTTGCCAGTCTTGGTCATCCCCATATCCCCATTACCGAATGTGGCGGTGGGGCCCTTAAAAACGGCTCCCCGCTGCTTCTCGTCGAAAACCAGTTTTTCGGTTGAGTTCTCTGGTTGTGCTTCCTGAAACCGTACAGTGCAAAACTTTAGGAAAGTACAAATCCCGTGTTTTCCAGAAGCTTTTTGAACCCCAGGTTTCTCCTGTGAAAGCCTGGCTACTTTTCGGAAACCTTTTTTGTGTGTATGCTTCGTTGAGTAGCAAGTTTGCATGTAGTGTTTGGATGCATCTACGGGCACACTTGTATTTTCGGTCTCTTTGCAAGTGAGCCGACTTGGGTCGCTGCATGAGTCGCTGCAAGTCGTCACTTGAATATTGTTGGGAAATCTATCGTCTCTTCATTTAAGCCTCGTGTTCAGGTCATTACGCTGAGATTGTGTGCATGTCAATGCATTTGGCCCAACGAAAAGTAAGTGTGCTCGCTGCTGCCTTTTGGTCCGCCATATGTTTGCGACTTGCATTTCAGCATCACTTGTTACAATAATTACAGCGTACTTTCTGAGTCTGGAATATATCTTGATATTGACGATCAGCCTTTTTGCGTGAATTGCCGGACGTTCAAGTCAATCTAATGTTTACAACCTATGGATCACAATCAAACATGCGTTTTGGTTGTGGTGAAAATTGGATCCATTGATGTTTCCACCCAAAGTAACGGCAATGTTATGATCCCCTTTGGCAGACACCACTCTGAGGCGTATGGAGAAGTGTGCGAGGTTATTTGGGTCAAAGTGTTGTGAACTTCACAGCGTTCTTGGTTCTTGGCTCCTTGCTCTGAAATTGGACGTCCCCTCTAAGCAAATATCCGTTTATTTTAAAGGTATGGCAAAATATCCAGGTTTTTCCAGGAAATACCGGGTTTTTACTTTTTGCGTTGTAATCAGAATGGTCTTGCGTGAGTTATGATTGTGGTTCCCTCAATATAATCCTTTTGTTGGCTCTCTTACATCCAGTTAAACGCTACACGGCCGCCTACCTATCCCATCCAAGCAAGCTCATTGAGCATGGCACCTGTTGCAAATCACCTGCTGAACTCGAAACAGTGGTCAATCCGCAATTTGTTGGGAAGGCTTCCCAGATCGTGGCTCGAGAAGTTTAAAACAGCGTTGCAATATGAACTTTCTGACAATTGCAACAAGTAGTCCCAGTTTACCGCAAGCGGTAGCTGCACGTGTATACATATTGTGTATGGCACTGAGCAATCTGCTTGGGACTGTTTGCGTAAAGCTCGCGTCGGATACGCCGTCTTGCAAATGCTCACTTGTTTGACAACCAAGTCCCGTGCTAAAGCATTGATCCCGGAGCTTCTCGCAGGCTTGTCTAAATAAACGTCGCAGGAACATCATTTTCGGAGCAAGCCAAAAGAACATAACCCACTTTGAACACTGGACAGCAGGTAGTAAAAGACGCGTGGGACGAACAGATGAATGACTGCTTTTCGCAGGGTCACTTTGCAAGCCTATTTCGGGCAACTCGGGCCTGGAAAGCTGTTTGAGCAGAGGCTGAAAATCCCATAAATCGCGTACGGGTTTGTACGGTATTTTTATGGGATTTGTACGGTTTTTGTACGGGTTAGGAAAAACCGGCTTTCGGAAAAATATGGGTTTGTATGGGATTTTTATGGGATTTGTATGGGATTTTTATGGGTTTCCTTTTTTTCGCACGCGCTCGCCCTTCCAGAAGCTTTCCAGCAAAGAAAAGCCGGCACACAGCTACATTGCGCGAGCAGCGAACTGGTTTTGTATGACATTGCGGTAGAACGTCCGAAGGTTTTCGGGCACAAACACGTACTACGCAACATGTTTGGCTTGGACTGTGCTTCCCATCGAATCGAAGTTATGAGGAATCTCTGGGTGCTGGAAGAAAGTGCGACTTAGGCGGAGGCCAGCTTTGTTGGCATTTGGCTTGTGCGCCGTGCCGAGTAACAAATGCAAGTGCCACTTTGGGATACTGCAGTATGTTTTAAAAATACAAAAGAAGTACCATGCTTGAGCATGACGTGTCAATCACGCAGAGCTACTGATGGTCATGCAGTGAACTGCACACTTGTACATTCAAGCTGGTTGTCCCGCTTCATTCTTGAGTTTTGGCTGACCACGCCCTCGCGTCTACCCCTGCCTTTTGAGCTCCAATCTTGAGGAGCAGGGGGCTATCGCGCACTTGGCGGTACAAAAGGAAACAAGAGATTCCAAAAAAACATCTAGAAACCCAATATACAAGTTGGCAGTGAAAGAAAACTGGCGGCTCCTTTCAACACCTGCTCGAGATCCGGCACCTTTGATCTGTTCTTCAAACATCCGACATTTCGCTTGCGAAATGTGCCAAAATAAAGGATGTAAGTGAAATACCAGGTTTTTCCCTGGAAAACCTTTATTTTTCCCAAACTTGCCCAAAAACCAGGTTTTCCCATTTGACCCTTTAAAATTAAAGGATTTTCGCTTAGAGGGTCTTGCCACAAGTTCCATAATCACATGTTTTGACTCAGGTCCCGGCAAGGATTAGAGCCCTTGCCCAGGCGATGCTGACTCACAAGATGCTGGTGGCGGCGAAAGAGGGCAAGGAGGACACGGATGCAAGTTGCAGCCTGCACATGTCCAGACTTGTCCGAAGCCCGACTTTAGAATTGAGAGCCGTTCTTTTAGTTCGGTGGCTGGCTGTCCAGAAAAGAGCTTCATCGTTTGAACTAGGCCAAGAGGCTGGGATGCCAGCCTACTTCACTCGGATAGGACGAACTGCACCAGCTCCTTTTGCATGGCCTTTGCGTGGACAAGAGGCCGCCTTCGCAGTTCTCAGCTGGTGAGCAAAAACAGTAGCTTCCCGAGTTTGACTGATTAGACCTTTCAATTTCCTGGTTTGGTCCCTTATTAGTCACCCCAAATGTTGTGTTTTCTTCTGCGCCTTTTTTGAAATGGCGAAGAGTTACTTTGTGGGTTTGGGCCACTTTCGTGGAACCCACTAAAAAATGCAATTCCACACCAACCCGAATCAATCCAATGTTAGCACGAATGTGATCTTAGGCCTGACAAGAGCCATTCAGTATTGGGTTGTTTTTGTTCCAAGGCCTGCCTTCTTGGACAATGGCTGCCATTTTCTCCGACATCCGCATGAGGTTTCTCGTTGGTGGGGAAACTGCCACCTTGTTGGGCCTCTCCAGCCGTTAATTTCATTTGGCATGCTTCGCTTGAAAGTCTTCCAACAGCCTACTCGAAATACATGTTCCAGCCTCATGACTTTTGCAGTTTGTCTGTGCAAGAAACAGCACTCTTGAATGCTGGTCATTGCAAAGGACAGCACATGAGTCCAAGACTGCGAGGCTAGATTGGATTTTATAAGATGCTCCCCTTTAAGAAAGGTCCAGCCGTGGCGATTGTTTGCATTCCCTTGGTGCCTTAGAGCACATGCAAACCTCAAAGGTAGAACTTCGGGTTAGGCTTTCTTTGCTCTATAGGTTTTGGAGCAACAAGCGAATCCCAAGGTCCTGGGTTGAAAAGCCTTTGACCCAAGTGACTTGTTCAGAGAAACTCAAGAGGAAGCCAAGCGCGGCATGGATTTCGTGGCTGGATTTTGCTTGTTCTTCTTCTCCAGGGCTTTGTTGTGACGAGGCGGCCCTTCTTCATGAAGCGCGAGTCCGAGGCAGGCAAATCAAACATTTTCAGCTGAAAACGAGCTCGCGGATTCTGGGTTCTCATGTTTTCCTATTGGGGGATGTTTGTTTTCATTGGCAAACGGTTTAAGTGTAAGTCGCTGTCTTTGGCTTCGTGCGGAAGATCCAGAGCCTAAGAGCCTCCATCGAGCCAGTTGTTCAACACAAGCCGGTCCAAATGAATGTAGCCCAGTTCAGTGGGATCTCAGAGGGATCGATCCTGAACTTCCCTTCCCCAAACTGACCAGAGGTCACTGGTTTGCAAGTGGGGCCATCAACGTGCATATTTGCCTGCCGATGTTCAGGGATTTCAAGGGTAAAACGAGAGGTTCCACCGATGCGGCTGTGAAAGGAGCGAACGCCATGATGTAGGTCCTTTACTTGGTCCCATTCTTATTTCAGGTTTTAGAATTGTGAGTTAGTGTTGCCGATGGAAGAGGAAGCGGCGGAATTGCCACAGCAAAGGAACCCTTCCCGAATCAGTCCTTTGTGTTGCCTTCACTCTGCTTGGCAGGTTTTCTTGGCAAGCAAACCTACATTTCACCTGGTATACTTCACCAAAAGAATATTTCTGATTTTGTTTTTTCCTGTTCATATATTTCTTGCCACCGTGCCACGGGGTATCGTCACGGGTTGTGCCGTCGCCTTCGATACCTCACCCGTCGGCTCGTCACCCAAGCTTGGCTCAGGACGTGAAGCCGGAAAGCTTCAGACCCGTGCGCCGGCAGCTGGGGATGTCCGCGCTGATGCCGCTCGGGGAGAGAACGGCCCGGCGTCCCTAGGGCGCCCAAGGATGCCCCCTGCGGTTTTGGGTGGCTAAGGGAAACCAACAGAGACATTGCCATTTTGTTTTTTTTATTTATTTTTTTTTTGGGGGGGGAGGAGTCTTCAAAGAAAGGGACACCAACAGAAACGCGGCCAGTTGGTTATGTTTTTGTGGGAGGGGGGAAACCAACAGAACCACCGCCCTTTTGCCGTTTTGAGTCTCTTTTCCCGAAACAGCCGCGGACAAATGCGGGGGGGCTGCATTTTGCAGATGTTGAAAACCAGCAGGGGGGGGTCCCTCTCTCCCTGCTGGACTGGTTTGCCACCACCCGACTATAGAATGAATCCCCGGACGCTATTTGCTATTTCGACGTTGCTGGTTCACATGTGTTGGGGATCATTGCCATCAACAAACCTACAACAATTTATTTCAAGTGTTCTGGCAATTCCCGGCCTGAGGTCCTGAGGTTGAAACCGCGGAAAAAAGAAAACAAAAACAAACAATGAGCGGTTGATAGACCCACCATGGTTTACCTAAGGATTGTCATCTAACTTGGATCCCCTTCCATTCTTTTGGGGGAACCCCGCTGAAAATCCCAACCCGTGTGCCCCAAACAGTGTCGAAAACCGGGGGGTCCGACAACCTGAAAGTTGCGGGGCGCCGATTCTTTTGTGTCTCAATGGCGAGTTTTTGTTTGCTCTGGCACGCGTTTCGAGGCGACTTGTTCCAAGGGAAACCAACAGGACGGCGCTCCCATGCTACTTTTTTTTTTTTTGCTATACCTGGGCACTCGGGCCTAGGTATGCAGCCCAGGGCGGGTATGCGAAATGCTGCCTCCAGCTATTGGCAGCCAATGCGGATCCCAACGCAGAGGATGAGGCGAGGAGCCCTTGGCGCCCTTGGTGCGAGGCTTGGTCCATGTGGCTCAGATTCAATCCAAATGGCGCCCATGGAAACGACGAACACCTGCGATCTATTCCCTTGCTCTGAAATTTTGAGACCACTATTTCTTTCACAGATGAAGACTCCTTAAAATAATGATTCATTTAGAGGTCTCCTCCAGAAATGTGATAAGCAACATATTAAGCCAGACAAATATGGAACAGAGTCGGCTCGGAAGATCTGGAGTTTCTGCGTACGTAGTGTGTCTTGAACGTCAACCATCCAAGAAAATTGGACCTTCTTTCATGGCCCTTCAAATTAAAATTCCTCTCAGATCATGCCATGAATTGTTCAGTGCTTAGCTCTCCTTAGTATTCACGGACTTGTTCTGTTTCAAAAGGAAACTGGTCCAAACCAGGACCCCCCGAACGTCAGGGTTCCATATTACTTGGTGGGAGGGACGTGCACCCTCTCCCTTTCTCTGCTTCCCCTCGGTTCCAGCTTCTTTACCTTCCGCGCTCGTGCCGGTTTTGAGCATGTATTTCTACCTTAGCCCTTCCTGCCGCTGCGAATCATTCCCCTACTTTCCCTTTCCCGCTTCTGCTTCCTTGAGCCCTGTTTCTGTGCAACCCTTGTTTTAGCGCCTTGCGCCTTTCGGTTTTGGCGCGGGCGCCTTTGGCAGCTATCCCTTTGCATCCGCTTGAGAATTTGCAAACGTAACCCACAGGGGGGTTCTTCCAATGCTGTCAAAAGCCCTGCCACTTCTGAGCTGCGCGCCTGCATACTCAGGATGCTTTGGACCGATTCCTTATGATGCCTTCTTTGGTTGGGGAAATTGTGTAGGGGGTCACCCGCAGACTCATGACTTTTTGGGTGTCTAATTTTGGGGAGTAAATCACCAAACTGTTTAAACAGAAGAGTTGCCCTTTCGAGGGAACCCTGACCTCGGAATCCCCCAAAAACTCGCTGGCGGAGTTCCTGGACTTTAGTGTCAGTGTTTGGGGTCTGGACATGTCTGGACCATGTTGGTTGGTAAATGTAAAGTTCGAGCTGTTCTTGGCCCATCCACTCGATCGAAAGTGAGACACATGACCGGAATGGGGGTTCGCTTGCCGCGAGGACGGCATGCGGCCCCTGCACTTCGCTGCCACGTCGGGGGACATGGCAGTCTGCGAAGTGCTGATCCAGCGACTTTTCGGCACGATGAGGGAGCTGCGGGTTGAGTGTTTTTTGTTGGGAAGGCCCCCGGAATTGGGTGGGTGGAGCTGGGCTGTAAAAAATGGCAGTCCTTAATCCTTGCCCCAGTTACACAACGTCCCCTTTGTATGGCTTCCATGTATAGGGATCCCTATTTTGTTGGGGAGGTTTTCTGGGGGCTTCCTGCAGCTAGGCTTTTTGGCTTGTGACGTGTATATATGTATCTGCACATACTTTCCGCAAAATCGCGTGGAACTCAAGCACATCGTGTTTGCAAAGGAACATGTTTTTCGTGTACTCCTTTGTTTATCGCATCATGTCCGTTTCTGGTTCGTAGAGGTTTTTGTCTTTGTTTCCGGGGGGGGGGGGGCGGATGGGCGGATGCCCTTTTTGTCAGCATTCAAGGGCTTTGTTTGACTGCTGTCATTTTGAGTCTAGCATCTACATCTATTCGGTTTTGATGCTGAATCCACCGGTGGATTCTGCTTTTTGGGGTCAGGTGCATCCGAAACCTCGCCCACTCTACCGTACTTTGCACAAATCGACATCATTTCTCCTGGGTGTTTGACCGTTTCTGAAAAGAAAGATCCATTGCCAGACGTCCCTGCCCTTTTAAACCGAAACTCCCATTTGCATGTCCCTCATGTGTCCCTTTAAATTAGCAAGCGGAGGATTCTGAAGCTAGGTGTCCACTAACGGCGTTGGTGTCGGTGTCCGTTTTTTGCCCGTTGGATACCAGCCAACGTAGTGGCCATTTTGAGAAATCCTCAAGTTTACAGCCACGGATCTCATGGGATACGGCTACTCCGGTGTTATCCCCGAGGCACCGCGCGGACGTTGGGGCGGCTTGGCTCAGCAAGTCGACTGGGATATCTTCTCATTTTCTGTGTTTCAATTCTTAGGGTTCATCAGATATGGACCAGAATCAAACAGCAATTTTGGGGTCTGTTTGTTGCTGCAGGTGCCATCTTCTCTTTCGGGAAAACGGGAGAGGAGCCCGCCACATTACCTGGCAGCTTTTTTTTACAGCACCAAAACCATACCGGGGAGGGGCGGTTCGATCAACAAGTGGGGAGGAACTAAGATTCCCAAGATCGCCAAAGTGAAGGACTCAGGGGAACGATTGTGTCAGGGAATTTATCTCTGGCAAGGGGCGTGGCTTACCCAGGGCTCACCCAGGACTTGGGGAGAAAGCCTTGGGACACATGGCTACCTGATCCGCGGTTAATTTCGGCACCCCTCAGCCATGGTTCGTGCGCATGGAAGATCACTCCAACCACCCCACCCCCCCGGCCCCGCGGCAGAGAGCAAAAAGAGGAAACCGGTGTCAGTGTTTGGGGGGTTTGGGGTGGGTTAGGGATGAGGGGAGTTTACCAAAACTTGGGGGGGCGGGGGGGGGGCTCGGCTTGGGAATGGTTGTTCATTTCTGGCAAAGGTGTGACACAAAGAGTTGCCATCCCCACAGTCCCAAACACAAACAATGAAATGGTCATCCGGCAAGGAAATGCGTTTTGAATTGCAATTCTCACGACGGCGTTCGTTGGGAGGGCGGGTGCATTGGGTTAACGGTTTACAGATAGGGCTTTGGATTTGCTGCTCTTGTCAAAGCTGAGCTGATGGACCACGGGCGATGCGTCGATTCTTTTGGTTATTTGCTCGTAGATTGAGACGCCAGGTGGTTGCGGAATGACGAATACTCACTTCCTGAGTTCCTGGGCTTTTGTCTCATTTGCTGGGTTTGTTTACCATTTTAGTGGTAAACTACGGGGGGGTAAGAGGCCGCAAGTGTCTTTTTTTGTTGTTTTGGTCGAAACATAGATGGCCCTGGTGTACCTGGTGGTTTAATCATTTCCCCTGAAAGGACGCCTATGTAAGAGGCACACACCAAAGATTACAGGCAAGCGATGCTGCTCGCGATACGGCATGAGTCCATTGCTTTGTGGCTCGCCGTGTTGAATGGGCAAACTTTCCTAGTTGCTCACCAGCATTTGAACCAACCCCAAAAAGGGCATCCTCAAAACCCAAAACATACACACACACACACACACCCGCGCGCGCGCGCGCGCGCACTCGCGGAGCATTGAGGATTTTAGACAACCCTGTGGATGTTTCTCTTTAAATGGACTGCTTCTTGGTGGCTTTCAAAGGCAACCTGCTGTTGGAAACGGCCCTTGTTTTGGGGCCAGGGATTTGCCATTCTGTGGATGGACGAAATCCATTTGGCACCACTGTTCAGAAGAAGCCTTGGTTTCTCATGATTCCCCTGCAAGTGCCATCATTACAATGGTTTCAACCATGGTTTCATTTGGTGGTGCCAGAAGCGGATGTAGAAACTATCAGTGAGCGAGTGCCTTAGGCAAAAGCGGATGATGAGAAGACGGCTTTTGACTTAGCACCTTTGGCGAAAACATTTTGAGTCGGTTGTGCGGTGTCTCGCTCAGGTTTCGCGTTTCGTTTGGGAAATCTTCATCAAGCCCAAAAGTTTGTTGATGCCCTCTTTGCAGCAAACAAGCATTTTTCTGCTTCGTGGAAAAAAAACACCAAAAACACAAATATGTTGGAGGACCAGCTAGCAGGGGCCGAACCTCTTTCGATCCCATGTTTGCCTATGGGAGGGTTGCAAGTTGGACCCCACGCGTAAAGACAGTCAAAGGGTCAAAAAGATGAAGTCATGCGGAGTTCCTGTCAGGGAGGTCAGGTTGGGCATCCCTGGCAAGGAACTCAGAGTGAGCAACGTTTGGACAAGCATGTGGGGGTTGATCAATATTCCTGGCCGCGAAATGACCATGCGTAATTTCCCCATGTGGGAAATATCATCTTGTTCCTCGTTTTCCAATGGTCATCCCATGTCTACCGGAACTTTTGATCACCCATGTTGAGTAGTCAAACAGCTCCAAGACTTCAAGGGAGAGCTGCAGCTAAAGGCCTATGTATGTATGTAATGTATGTATGTATGTACGTACGTATGTATG